GAGTACTCACCTAGCACGTGCGGAGTGCTGGGTTCAATCCTCAGCACCACATAAAAATAAAGTAAAGAGCTGGGAACATAGCTCAGTTGGTAGAGTGCTTGCTTTGCATGCACAAGGCTCTGGGTTCAATCCCCAGCACCAACAAAAACAAAATAAAACAAACAAAAAAAGTTTCTTTTTTGCCTAAAAAAAAAAAAAGTTTTCTTGTGCCTGGGGTATATAGCTCAGTAGTAGAGCATTTGCCTAGTATACTCAAGGTCCTGGGTTCAATCCCCAGCACCTCAAAACCAAACAAAAAGAGTATTATCATATGTATACACAAACTTAATGACCTAAGAAGTAAAAAAGAAAACATGCCAGGACCATCCATGATGAAACTGGACAAAGGCAGAAGCCAGCCCAGTAGTTGTTAACTATGAATTTCAAAAGAGCCCTTTTATCAACTGAAGTCTTGAGACTTCAATACAGGCAAGGGGAATGCAAAAGCTGACCAAAGGGGATAAGAAGTTGCTCTATGTCAGTTTAAGTTATGAGCAAGAATTCCATGTGTCCAGGTGCGCTGGATGGGATGCCCAGCAGTGACTTGAGCAGGTGCCTGGAAGGCCAAGGGGATATCAAAGCACACAAGCGGGATCTTTTCCTTCATCACTCAAATTAAAAGGTTCCAACAATGTTTTTTAATCCACCTCCCATCATCTTTTCTTAAAAAAGTTCAATTTATATGTATGTGGTTTTTTACATTATGATTGGAAGATCTGGGAAAAAAAAAAACTTTAGTAAACCAAAAAAAAAAAAAAAAGTGATCTATGTAAATAAAGACAGAAAAGAAATAAAAAGGAACTATAAATCTCAGGTCCTTTGGGCTCTTCCATCATCCCCCCTACCCCAGAGCAACTAGTAAAAACCTACAGATGTATATAACATTCTGCTCATAGGAAAGAAAGGGACAAGTACCTGAATTTAATAATCTATCCCCCCTGCCCCGTAGGGAATGTGTGTATACACACAATGTGGGAGTCCTGTCCTCAAGGTACTTTTAATGAGGATAGGCCCAAGCTCCCGCACCCACGATACACTCACTGTTCTATATTCAGAGCTGGGCTCAGGCAAGCATTCACCAGTAGGATTCACTCAAGACCTTTAAAAGGTTTCAAGGTACTAGACACTTTTATTTCCAGTACTGCATTTTGCGTAGTTCAATTTTCTTTTTTTTTTATATTTAAAATACTGTTTATTTGTGATTTAACATTAATTAGCATAACATCTAAGAGAAATATCAGATAACATTTATACATTTTTCCACAGGACACAGGTTCATTGGCTCATTCATATGCCAAAGCAAGTAAATAGAGGCATTAGCAAAAGGTGCAATAGTTTACTGTGGCATTTAAAAAATATTTATGCACATTGCATTCATTTAGATATATATATTTTTAAAAAGTTATGGAAAAGCATAGTTTACAGGTTACTGTTTCTACATATGTTGTAATACAACAAATGATGTAGAACATAAAASAATCCTCAAATACACAGTTAAGCAACTGAAAGTTTCCACTAAGAGATTAGAACACTGATTCCAGTAGTTAGTGAGTAGTTCAATTTTCTATAACTAGTCATCTATCTTAAAAAAAAAAAAATCAATGGATGGATTCTATTGGGCATCTGTCAACCAAACACGATGGAAAAACACTTCTAGGGTTTGGGCAGTATGTTAGTCCAAACTATGTAACTAAACAGAAGTAAATATAAACGCATTGCAGACTACACAAGTGTCATTTATTTATTCATTTAAGAAGTATGCAAGCATATTGTGGTTAAACAGCAAATATCCTGGATTATAAATTCAAGGCAGACACCAATGCAAGAATGAAAATTGGTACAATTACTTTGGGCAAAAAGCATCAATTAGTAAAGCTAAAAATATGYACACCTGACATAATTGCCCAAGATCAGAAACAATCCAGATGTCCCTCAATAATAGACAGACAATTTGTGGGAAGTCATACAATAAACGAATTAGAGTCACAGGCAACAATGTGGATGAATTTTTAAAAAGAGCATGCTGCAGCAATAATATATTATATATACACACACAATATATATAATATATAATAATACACACACACACACACACACACACTTTTTACAGCATTATATATTAACCAAAAGAAAAAAAATCCAAAAGACTACTCACTTGATTTTATTTTATAGAGGTGAAAAACAAGCAAAAACAACTATGCTATTTAGAAGACAAAAACTATAGAAAAGAAAGGATATTATTTTCATAAAAACCAGGGTAGTCACTGGCTAGGTTACCTATGGTCCTTAGGAAAGAACAGGGAGAGGACGCTTCTCGACTTGCAAGATGATTAGTTACACTTGAGTTTTCTTTAAAATAATTTATCAATTTATCCATTTGTTTTATACCTCCTTCTTCTTCATGTTATAATTCACAATTTAAAAGGTTAAATAAATATAATGTTGATTTCCAGAAATTCAGAACCATTACAACTCTRGCCAGTCTGGAAAGACTACTTCCTCACTGAATGTTACTACGAGCCTATCAGCTTCATAATGCCAGGAACCTTATTTGCCTTCTACCCTGGTATTCATCACAGTACCTTTGGCATGGTAAAAGTTCAAAAAATATTTCCTTCATAAGTGCATAAACTGCTGATATGAACTTAACTCACTCATTTCTTGAAATTACCTACTTGAACTGTACAACCATTAACACTTTCCTTTGTCTTCACCCCCTGAAGCTTTCATAAATAATAAAGCTACCACCTTAAATGTTAGCTCTGTAAGTTTACACCTTGTTGCTTTAGCAACTCTCCCTGCCTTCCACTACCTTTTGTGCCTCCTTTAAGCAAAGAAATGATGAACACCCTAGTCTTAGATTTCTTTTTATGGGAAAGTTTTCATTTGCATCTGAGAGTAAAGTAAGGATCATAATGATTCAATTACTTTGAAGTTGTTTATAAAGAGATCATTTACCCACTGCCTTCAGAAATACCACCATGCCATCAGGGTTAATAAAACTTTACAATCAGTTGTACTTAAAAAGCATGCTGCTTGGGCTGAGGCAGTACCTCAGTGGGAGAGCGCTTGCCTCGCAAGTGTGAGGCCCTATATTTATTTATTTATTTATTTTTATGTGGTGCTGGGTTTGATCCTCAGCACCACATAAAAATAAATAAATAAATAAATATAGTGTGTCCATCTACAGCTAAAAAAAAAAAAAAGCACGCTGCTTATTCTGGACTGAAATAAAATCTCTATAAACAGAACCAGACAACTGTAAAATAATTAATTTCAGCTAGAAAATCACTTTGTGCAAATAGACATTTATGAAGATGCTGAGAAAAGTCTGAAGGATAACACAAACCAATAKAGACAGACACAGCTGTTACTTTTGAGAAAGATGTCCAAAAGAAAGCTATAACCTATTGGTAAACTTTCAATTTTTACACAGAGAATAATTAAAGCATTTCTTGTGATATTGGAAAAACATATTTTTAATCCCCCTTGCCTTAGAACAAAATCCCTATTGTAAAAGAATCCATCAAACAGTTCCTTTCCTAATGCCCATCTTTTTAAAATGCTAGTTTTTATGCTAAGATCTTAAAGGATTTGCTGTACTTGTATACCTGGCCAATTTTTTAAATGATATTATACACACACACACACACACACACACACACACACACACATATGCCATTCTATTAAAGAACATCACAGAATTCATACCTGCAGTCAACCAATATGAAAGATTTTAGATGAGAACTCAGCAGGGACACCTTCTACACTGATGTTAAGGCTTGAAATGAAGGAAACTGTCTCCTGTTTTATGGGGGAAAGCCAAAAATACCAAGMAGCTATCTCTCCTCCCCCAAGCGTCAGAAGGTGAGTCAGAGCTGGAGGCAGGAATGGGGCCCATGTGTCAAGCCGCCTATGTAGGGCTCCTTCCTGCCTCCTCCCGGGAATTCTCAATTCGCAGCTCTCACCCAGCCTGATGTGAATTCTCAAGATGTCTCTGGCGAAGAAGAGGTGGTAATTCATTCTGCGAGTGCCTCATTCCCTGTGTTTCTCAAGGGAGCCCAGACTGGGGACCTTTATGAGTCTACAAGTAACAACAACCAAACTGCAGCTCCAGGGAATGGAGCCTCCACACACACAACTTTACAAAGAATACAGTACTTATGCTTCCTTCATTTAAAGAGCAGGAAATTAACAGAGAAGTTGTGACTTGTCAGATGTTACTTAACTTTGTAGCAGTAGCATTCACCGGGCTGCTAATCACTGGCCTCTTTTTTCACTGAAATGTACAATCCCATGGGAAGACTTTTCAACGTTCCATCCATTTATACTTCGGAGTGGCTACTTAGGGGGAGGAATTCCAGCAAACTCTGGGTTAAATCTTACGGTCCATTATTCCTCTAAGGCCAGTCAAGAATCAGAAGTTTGCTCTTTGCCTCCGTTTTTGCATCTGTAAAACGGGAAGGTAATGCTCTCCACCTTCCTCTTATAAACTATAATGAACAGCTAACGAGTTAACACATGCCAAATGCCTTAAGGTCCTGCTGGGTGGAAAGTACAAGGTGGTTTAAAAAAAAAAAAAAATCCCTACACAGTAAAACTGTATGTTTAAGTCACTCCTCCTTCCCTTGCCTCCGGGATGCCCAGTTACCATAACACTGGCTGATACCATTGGCAACATCCACCTAAATAAAATATAGTTATACAATCCACTTAAGGTGGCTACAGCACTCATTTTCCCCACCCCCACCACCTCACACAACTCAACTTCGCTCCGGAGCAAGGGTACTTAGGAGAAATTTTAAAAGCTATTTATTGGCGTCGTGCACACCAGAAAAATACTCAAGTTGAATACTTGGCATCGCTGAAAGTCAAGTTGTTTCTACCAATGCACTAGAAACCTTTGAAAGATGCAAAAAGCCTCCTCGGCTCCAGAAGATCCGCCGCAAGTGGATGCTCACGGTGGGGTGAGGAGGTAGAAAGGCCATGGCGGGGCTGGAGAGGAGAGGGATCAGAGGGGAGAAGCAGACCAGGATGCTGGTGGCATAGCGAAAAGGGTCGGGGTCCCAGGGCTGGCGCAACGGCGGCAGCTGCTGAGCCACAGGGGTGCGCGCCGACGTCCCGGGAGGAGGGGGCGCGGCGGAGGGCTCCGGATCCGCCTCCAGGACGCCAGACCGCTCGGGAGAAGGTAGGTTCGCCGGCACAAAGTTTCCAGACACGAAGGTCGAGCGGGTCCCGGGCCCCTAGTCTCGCCAGGACCCGGGCCCGGTAGGCGCGAAGTTCCGCACCGCCCGCCCGCACAGCCCCCACCCCCCGGGCCTCAGGGCCCCCTACCGGTGCGGCGCGGCTCGCTGCTGGCGCTCCGTCCTCCTGCGCGGCTCCCGGCTTCTGCGGGCTGGGAGCCGCGCGCGCCCCTCCTTCTCCTCTCCGCCCGCGCCCGGGGCGGGCCGCGCGCACGCTCCCTGCGCCCCGTCGCCCTCTCCCGAGGGGGTGAACCCGGGGCGGGGGAGGAGTGGTATGGGCGGGGGGAGCCCGAGGTAGACGCGTGGGGCGTCCGTCGCTGCGCGTGCGCGCTGGGTCTCCGCGCCTAGCGTTGCGGCGGGTCGCGCCCTAGGACTCAGAGGTCAGCAGCTCCTCCGCTTCAGTCTAGGGGGGTCAGGTGTAGTTTTCTCACCTGTCTCCCACACATAGACCCCCTCCATCCCACTTAGGCGTTTGCCCACCAGATGATTTTGAGAAGGGGTGCAGGGGTAGTGTACTTGGGTACTACTTTCTGGATGGGAGAGTATTAAAGGCAACAAAACAATACAAATATAAAAGGTGCGAGCACCGCAGAGAGTGACTAATCACCGCCTCTCTCCCCACCCCCACCTTCCATGCGGCGCTGGAGAACCCAGGAGTTAGGATGGAAGGTTRAAGGAAAAATAAGTCTCATGGCAACTGTTGGGTGAATTTTGCTTGGACAGGTGTGGGCAGTTTCTAGTATCTGTTGTGGAAAGCTATCTTGTCCGAGACTCAAACGGAGGTAAAGGTATGATCTCCTGCCTGCTCCAAGACGCCCAAACCACCGGCACCACAGCGCGAGTGCCCATCAGTGCTCCCAGAGTGGGCAGGTAGGGTCTCGGGAGTCCAGGCTGGACATTGAAGGTTTATTTGTTGTGACACTCTGGGGGGGGGGTCCTTTTTTATTTAGGTCTGCCCATCCGTAGCGTGAGTAGATGCAAAAAGGACTTTCTTCAGCACAACCCTCCCCGCCCTCCCACCTCCAGCAGGTGAGGGGCAACACAGGGGAGGTATGAGCGACTTCCTCAAGCTCTGCAGTGASTCAGACACCGGAGTGCCGCCGACTCCATGCCCAGTCCTGTACTCACCAGACCCAGCTCCTCACCGTTGTAAATCGTTGGCATCAGAATTGCTGAACAGTCAAACGAGTAGTCATAGGTTTGGGGGGAGGGGTTAAAGGGGGAGCATGAACCGCGCTTGGGTTTACATCTCTCTACAGCTTGAAGCAAAAGCTTTGAGGCTTTTTAAATGCTCTTCCTGATCGCCATTGGCTAACCAGATTCAGACTCATCCTGTGGGTGCTGGAATATCTAGAAGTTTTGTCTGCTTCCCAGATAAAAATATAACATCAAAGACATTTTAGTGATAATCCTGGGAAAGCGAAAAAGGCCTAGATGCTACGTAGAGATTTATTTTTGCCTCCATAAAAAGAATCAAAGCTAGAACCACAGTCTTTGGGAAAGGAGTCCCCTGTATTTCTCCTTTGCTTAGCGAAGCAATAACTCGTCTTTTTCCTTTTTCTCAAAACGGTGTCCTTGTTATTGGATTGGCATCAGGGACCAGGACCAAGCTTTCATCAACAACACTGCCTTCTCTGTGCTGACAAATCTTCTCTGCCTCTGGTGCTTTTTGTTGTTATTTCAGTTTTCTGTGTTACTGGGAATTGAATCCAGAGGTATTATATACCACTGAGCTACACCCGTGCCCTTTTTATTATTTATTTATTTATTTATTTATTTATTTATTTATTTATTTATTTATTTATTTTTGAGAGAGGGTCACATTAAATTACCTGCGGCTGACCTCAAACATGTGATCCTCCTCCTACCTTAGCCACCTAAATTTCTGGGATTAGAGGGGTAGATGGGCACATGCAGCTCTGCCTTTGTTTTGTTGTTGTTGTTGGTATTGGGTATTGAACCCAGGGGCACTTAACCACTGAGCCACATCCCCAGCCCTTTTAAAATATTTTTATTTAGAGACAGGGTCTCATTAAGTTACTCAGGGCCTTGCTAAATTGCTGAGCCTCACTTTGAACTTGCAATTCTCCTGCCTCAACCTCTGGAATCACGGGGATTACAGGCGTGTCCTKCGAGGCCCAGTCAGTTTCTTGTTTTAAAATTCCAGTAAATTTATACTTTTTTAACCTAACATTATGAGAGCAGGAACCTATTTTGATAGAAACTAAATTTTTCATATCTTACAATTTTTTTTTAATGCCATGAGTTTGATTTTGTAATAGGGGGTTCACTTGATGCTTTGTATCCCTATGGATAAGCAGAATCACAGCCTTTGGGACAGGAGTTCCCTGTGTTTCTCCTTTGCTAGCAAAGCAATAAACCTAAACCTTTTTCCTTTTTCTCAAAAAAAAAAAAAAAAAGCTTTTAAATTAGGCAAATTGTTCCAGCAGTTCATATAGTGACTTATTTTTGACATGCCAATACCAAAATAGCAAACTCTTTAACAGAAATGATTGTATGCAGCTTTTCTCCCTACAGTCCTTCCTTCAGCCAATTTAATGACTCAGCAGGACAAAGAGTCATATCGCCCATCAGATTCCAGCTTGTTTGTTAACATAGGTTTCCAAAACAATCTCTAAGTAGTGACAAGGAGTTAGGCATTTCATGGACTATGGGAACTAAACCTAGCACGAAGAATCATCATCAGTGAAGAGGAGGGAGATGGGCTAAAATAGAGTACATGTGGAGTGTGCTGTTGACTTAAAGATGGAGAGATTAAGTAGGAAGAAGTGCTGAAGTCAAGTAATAACCATGTAATGATTGTACATATGCCTGTGGGGAGGGAGGTGCTTTCTGTCTTTACAGAATGAGGAAGTGTGGACTCATGTTTGCCTCTGCCAAAAAAAGGGTCTGTAAAGTATGCCGTTCCAGATTAGCACTGTCCAATAGAACTTGGTGTGACCACTAACATCTTCATTTATCCAATACAGTATCAATATAGTAGCCCCACTAGCCTTAGGGAGCTACTGAGCACTTTAAATGTAGTTAGGGTGAGCAAGGAACTAAATTTGTTATTTTATTCTATTTTAATCAGTTCAAATTTAAATCTTACTGGACAACACTTTTTTTKGGGGGGAGGGGTGGTACCAGGGATTGAACCCAGGGGCGATTAACCATTGAACCACAAAATGAACGGTGGTATAACCAAGAAATAAAATATTGCCACCACCCTAGAAGCCACTTGTCTATTCCTCTCCACTCTATCCTCCTTCCTTGTCCCACCTCACAAGTAAAAACTACCTTAAATATTATCATTCTTCCCTTGTTGCTGCTGTTGTTTAAATCATTTCTACTATCTGTATATCTATATCTTAACCAGGGGTCAGCAAACTATGGCCCACAAACCAAATCTGAGCACCGCCTATGTATGTATGACCAAAGTTGAGAATGTTTTTTTTTTTTTTTACAGATGAATGTTTGTGATCAATTTGATAGGGAGCACCCACCTTGAACACCAATTAAGCAAAACATTATCTCCCTGTTATTGACTGAATTGTGTTCCCCCCAAAAGACATGATGAAGCCCTAAACTCCATCCCTTTTTWATATTTTATTTAGAGACAAGGTCTTGCTGAGTTGCTTTAGGACCTCGCTAAATCGCTGAGGCTAGCTTTGGACTTGCGATCCTCCTGCCTCAGTCTCCCGAGCCTCTGGGACTACAGGCGTGCATGATGGGGCCCAGCTTTGTTTGATTTGGTTTGGTACCGGGAATTAAACCCCAAGGTGCTTTATCACTGAGTTACATCCTAGCCCCTTTACTTTTTTGAGGTATGATCTCACTAAATTGTTTAGGTTTTTGCTGAATAATTGAATCTGGCCTCAAACTTTTGATCCTCCAGCCTTAGATTCTCAAGTCACTGGGATTATAGGCATGCACTACTACTACACCTGGTCTGGACAGCACTTTCTAGAATATAAATATGTGAGTTTATGGGTGTCAATTATTTTAGGGGTCATCTCCTACAAAAGTATGATTTGGGCCCAGCAAGAGTTTGGGTCTTCCTGACTACAACTAAATAAACAGTTCTTTAGAGCACTGCAGCATCTGTGCTAGATGAGAATTGATTTGAGTAAGCAAATAAAGAGTGGAGACTTCTTCTCCAATTAGCTTCTGATGTCTTCTTTCTTTTTTTTTTTTTTTTTTTTTTGGTACTGAGGATTGAACCCAGGGTGTTGTGCATGTGAGGAAAGCACTCTACCAACTGAGCTATATCCCCAGCCCTAATGTCTTTTTTTCTGAACATATTCTCACTGGTTGGGCAATGGGCTACTTAGAATACACTTTTATGGGTCCCTGAGAAAGAATGGTTGCATCTTCCATTCATATCATTGCCTCTTGCTAACAAACTGGCAATAAACTGAGCATAGGGCACCCACCTGTAATCCCAGCTACTTAAGAGGCTCAGACAGGAGGATGGCAAGTTCAAGGCCAGCCTGAGAATTTAGTGAGACCCTGTCTCAAAACATTGAAAAAGTTGGGTGTGGTGGTGTATACTTAAAATTCTTAGGAGGCTGAGACAGGAATACTCCAAGTTTGAGGACAGCATCAGCAACTTAGCGAGGCTGTAAGCCTTTTAGTGATACACTTAAAATAAAAAAAAATTTAAAAATTTTGTTTGGGATACTGAGGATTGAACTCAGGGGCACCCGACCACTGAGCCACATCCCCAGTCCTATTTTGTGTTTTATTTAGACAGGGTCTCACTGAGTTCCTTAGTGCCTCTTGCTGAGGCTGGCTTTGAACTTGCAATCCTCCTGCCTCCGCCTCCCAAGCCACTGGGGTTACAGGTGTGCGCCACCACACCCAGCAAAATAAAAATATAAATAAATACAGGTAATGAGACTCAGTAGTGGGTCTAGGGATGTGGCTCAAGCAGTAGCGCGCTCGCCT